GTCTCTGCCTCCCCCCCCCCCCCCGCGCCCGACCACCCGGCTGTGTACTTACCATTCGGTATCTAGAAACTACACTGTTTGCTTCGCTAATTAGACACGTAGTACGCTGTGTGTATATTCGTGAACGGCGACGGTGGGGAAGAGGGTCGAGGAACGGATGGAGGAAGCAAAGGGGCGAAGAGGGGGAGAGAAAGGGAGAGTGAGGTGAATCGAAGGGCGATGTATGCCTCCCCGCCGGCTGGTGCGCGAACATGCACGCTGGATATTGATCCAGATACGTGACTACATAGATCACACCAAACACCATGGATAACCGCTGGGACGCTTCAAGATTACCTTGGTCCACTGCCTTACTGCTCCCGGATTGGCGAACGCGTCCGCAACACCCGCGCCCGATCGTCGCGCCTCAAGACCTGTTATCAAAACTGGTACACTCCGTGATACATAGTGGGTAATCCTCGGAGGCACCCGAGACTCGGCGACAAACATCGCCTCCGCGCACATATGTGCGCCGTAATAAGTCGATTTGTAATCAGTAGGGAGACCGTGGAGACGGCGGTAATTGCGATCCGATATACGTCCTTTAGCTAATTCCGGAGTATACGATCGGTAAATTGAGAGTTTCAACATCTCACTCACTCAGCATAACTCGGCAATAATCGTTTAGCTAATGCGCGTTATAAAGACTCGCGTTCTCTCGCGTTCTCTCGCAGATGAATTTTATGCATCTTTTATTAAAAACTATGTTTTAATTAATCATCTTTGAATTAAGCACGATTCATTACTTTTTATTAAGCAAAAATATCGTACGCATAGTCAGAATTGAACAGTGGATGGAGGAGAATGTTTGTACCTCATAGATTACGTAATATATTAATTAATTTGTAGATAATCTGTAATGTGATTGAAGATGCAGCATGATAGACGCCGGTAATGCTCCGTTGATCTTGTCTCCTCGACAAACATTCGCATCGGTGTGCTATTACCAATCGATTTGCAATTAGCAGAGATGTTAGGATGATTCAGTGTGCACAGTCGCGCTAATTCTCTGTCATGTTAGGCAGTGCTCCGTATTTGTTTTGGCGAATGCTACGCAAGCTCCATTATAGATTATCGACTTCTCATCTTCCGTCAAGAGCCTTGGATTAGGATTAAAATTGCATTAACGTTATTACGAAGAATTACGGCAATTTCCGCAACAATGAGAGTCTTTATTTTCCACGTAAGAAAGTTATTATCCATAAAAGCGACACGTTGCATTGCGCAATTATATCTGATTCATCAAACAAATCCCCGATGCGGACGTCATCAGTTACACTTTTGGAAAACGATGCAACAACCACCTGCGCGCCAAAGCCGACGATGAGTCTTTCTTCTTCCGTGAGAATGAGAAACAGTCATCGCGCAAGTATCGCCTCACCTTCGCGAGAATCCGCCGAGTGTATCAATGCGATTTCCACAAAAGGCTGCATATCGCCTTTTGCGACGACTTTCTGACTGATGTCGCTTTTGAATGATGCGTCGCTTTTATTCCGCCCCGCTCAATTCAATCTACCGTACTTAATTCCGTTTATCCGTTTGCGGTTTCTCGCAAAATTAAATACAGGTCTTTCTATTATTCTCGTTACGCATCCGAGAAACTCCGGTTACTTCAGAGTTACTTCAGAAGAATATTCTCGAGAGAATAAAGAAGGACTTTTTCGCGATATATCGTTTTTTTATGATATTTAATTATTCGATGAAAATTGTTTCAATCTATGTACACAAACTTTCGCACTAAAAACTCATTTTTAACACGTAACGAAATGTTATGGCTCGTCCGGGCTATTTCAACGCGCGACCATAAACCAAAGAACTTTCGTCGGAACGTGACGAGCATAAAAAGTGTATTAACGCGGTCGTAGAAATTTACAAATATACAGACGATGATATATCTTTGTAGAACGTTATTTCTTTGTAAGCCATCCACTCGACAGGCATCGATTTATGGAATTCTCTTTTTATTTCCCGCGTGCAACATTATTACAACGGAAGGTTGCGTCTCGCCGAGCGATGTTAGAACGAGTGTCGTATGACGAAGACATAAACGCGAAGACCTTCTAGTTACGAACGTAAAAAGTACATTAACGCGCCCGTAGAAATTTACAAGTATGTTCTTTGTAGCGCGCTAGTACGACAACTTTTCTTTTGTCAGTCACTTCTTTGACAGGGATCGATTTACAAGAAAAGGGAGAAAGAGTTGTGCCTGTTAAGCGGCCGTTAGAACGCCTAACGATCAATTTTTTAATGCGCTTTACAAAGTTGTCCATAAAACGACCGGCTGCCAACGTTAATGGTGTCTCAACGGGGCGCAAGTTTAAGACTTCTCTCTCAAGTTTCCTTTCGAGAGGCGTAAACTCACATTCAAAGTATAGAAACGCGAACTGAATTGCAATCCTTTCGTCATGTATACTTTGCTCGCATTTTTATTGCTTACTTTGGAATATTAATTTCCAAATTCGATAAAAATTTAATTGTATAATAATATATTTAAAACAACAACTCTATTTATAACTTATTACATTATGTTTATATATTTTCCCTGTTCTTTCCACGTATAATTTCCACACAGGCAATT